CAGAGGCACTCATCCTGGCTGCTCAGGGGCAGGCCCTGAGCACCAGAGCCATTGAGGCCCAGATATACCACACCAGACAAGACCCAAGGTGTAGGTTGTGCAAAGAGGCACCTGAGACGATCCAACACATAACTGCAGGGTGTAAGATGCTGGCAGGGAAAGCCTTCATGGAACGCCATAACCAGGTGGCTGGCATAGTCTACCGAAACATCTGTGCGGAGTATGGACTGGAAACCCCAAGGTCAAAATGGGAAACACCTCCGAAGGTGGTGGAGACTGACCAAGCGAAGATCCTGTGGGACTTCCAGATCCAGACTGACAAGATGGTAATGGCGAACCAACCAGATATCGTGATCATAGATAAAGGGCAGAGGAAAGCCGTTGTAGTGGATGTAGCGGTCCCAAGGGATGGAAACATCAGAAAGAAGGAACAGGAGAAACTCGAGAAATACCAAGGGCTCAGAGAGGAGCTGGAGAGAGCCTGGAAGGTAAAGGTGACAGTCGTGCCTGTGGTGGTCGGAGCACTCGGGGCAGTGACCCCCAAACTAGATGAGCGGTTGCAACAGATCCCGGGAACAACATTGGAGATCTCAGTCCAGAAATGTGCAGTGCTGGGAACAGCAAAGATACTGCACAGAACCCTCAAGCTTCCTGGCCTCTGGTAGAGGACCCGAACTGAATGGGGGATGGACACCACCCGAGGGGTGAGACGAGGATTTTTTAAAAAAAAAAATTTTTATCTCGGAAAATGTCAATATAACGCTGGAACATATTAATTGCATTTCCATTAATTTCAATGGGATGTACCTTGATTTACCAACATTACAAATTACAAATGGGGACACTGTCCCACTTAAGTTACTCAGTACCACTGTAATGGAATAAAAACATCGTGCAACAAAAATCAAACAACATAAATTTGTTAATTATAACACACATTCAATGACTGGTAACACAAACACATACATATGAAAAGGATGAATGCCCTTAGAAGTTCATTAATTAAATCAAGTTAAGTCAAGTCAAGTACAACTTTATTGTCAAATGCGCCGTACAGCACAGATGAAATTTCTTCCCTCTCAAGACAACATAAAACAAGAGGAGCCGCTACAGGTGTCCGCGCTGCCATCAAAAGAAAAGTTAACATAAAATGACAAAATAATACAAGACAACACATTATACCAGTGTTTCTCAAAAAGTGGGGCACGCCCCCCTGGGGGGGCGCGAGGCTCCGTCAAGGGGGGCGCGTTTGACTTCGGGGAACATGCTTTTTTATTTTTTTACTGTCCTAAAATAACGTGCAGTTGCACCTGCACTACGTTAGGGGGCAGTAGCGCTCTCATTGGGAGAGTTTGCGCAGGGAGCATTCTCAGGGAGGAAATATGACGAGGCGTATGTTGCACTTGGCTTCAATGTGACTGCAGTGGCAGACGAGGAAAGATCGATGTGCTTACTGTGTCTAAACCTTTTGGTAGCGGACAGCATGAAGCCAAATAAATTAAGGCGCCACTTAAAGACATTACACCCCAATCACGCTGATAAGCTGTTTGAGTTTTTTTTTTTTTCGAGAAAACGTGCCGAATATTGCCAACAATCATGCCGCTTTGTGACCGCTACTTCAGTAAACTAAAATACAGGTTCCGGCTACACATTGAGCAGGAGCCGAGAGTTGCTGTGTCCTACTTCAAACCTCGCTTCGAAAAGCTGTGCATTGCAAAACGTGCTCCTTGTAGCCATTAATCCAGACATCATCTTTGATTTAAAAAAAAAAAAAAAAAAGGTTTTTTTTTATTTTTTTTTTTTCTTAAATGAAGGATTTAATGTTATTTTTGAATTTCAGATGCACTTTTTTTTTTCTGTTCCAGTTACTAAAGCTATTCTTTGTTGTAAGTTGGTCCATAAAGTTGGTCCATATTTCTTTCTTTTTTATTCTCTTATACGTTAATAAGGATACAGTGTTGTGCAAAGGTGTACTTATAACAATTTTATAGACAAATTATACTATTTATAGTCGTGGGGGGGGGGGCGCGAGATGTTTTCCTCTTCCTTGGGGGGGCATGACAGAAAATAATTGAGAACCACTGCATTAGACACAGACAATCGTGCAATCTTAACCACTTTCCTGCATACACTTTGTTGTCTGAACCAGTTTTAGATGAAAGAGGAGCGAAGCAAAGTGTCCTTTTCACCAGTGGATCAAAGACGTCATGCTGCAATGTGCACATGTCTGCTACAAGCTTAGCTTGAAAGCCACAAGAAGCTGTAGCATCCATTCACGGAAAAGAGAGATTGGCTCTCTTCTCCTGTCCCATGTAAATCCGCTTCAATTCCAAGCCCTGACTCCCAGTTCCACATACGCATCGGCGCTCTGCGCTGACGCTCCTTTCTATCTATCATCATCGGCTCCTCAAGCCATGCATCTATCTAGCCGCAGACTGTCCATAAGGATCGACTTTTCCTCTGAACAAAGCGGAGCTGTGAAAATGCTGCCTATTTCAGGCACAAGACACAAGCGCCCCGGGGCTGTCCAGCAACGACAGTCAAATGGCGCTGACATTCCTCCCAATCCAAGTCAGTGCTGGTACACACGTGCCGCTGAGAAGGCACAACCACCAAGCACAGATTTCTTTGACGAGTGTAGTGGCCAAAAATGCTGAAAATAGTCCATATCAGGTCCACACGATGTAACAACACCACCATGTGACAAAACAAAAGACAAAAACAACAAAAAAAAACGCAAGGCTCTTGAAGAGCACTTGCCAACAGCTGCCTACTCGGGTGGCATCTTGGGAAAAAAAATAAATAATGCAGAGCGGCACGCAACTGAAAAAGAAATTTTATTTACAGTTGATCCCTGCTATTTGCGGGAGATAAGGACCAGGCCGGCCTGCAAAGAATGACAATCCACATATAATTGACGGCCATTGAAATGCATGGGGGGGCGGGGGGTATTTTATGCATGATATATTTTTCAATTAATCAGCCAATTCATCTGTGATCTGTATTTTTCTCTGTCAAAAATCGGGATCAGGCTAAAAAAAATCCATATCCTATTAAAATGGTATGGTAAATAGGAGGCTAACTTACGCAGAAGACATCAACATTTTTTGATTGGCGGTTTAGGTACAGTGGTGATCCATAATGTTTAGTGAGACTTCAAAAATGATATTATCTCCCTTTTTGTGACCTCATGCTTTTTTTTTTCCACTTGTCGTGCGTGTGTAGGTGCAAAGGCCCGTACTGACATTCTGAGGCTCCTGGCGACTCTTCTGGTCCTGCAGCTGATGCGCTTGGAGAAGCTCCCAGAAGGTGTATTGCTGCGCACGCTCTTCTGTCTGGAGGATACTGACAGGTGACACTCCCACCGTGATCATCACATATAAAGAGTTCGGATTTTCAACTGGAACATTCCCTCAACTCAATGAACAGGCAGGACATTTCCACTCGGGTGCTTCACTTCATTTGCAAACTGGTATCATCAGACGATGCGCGTGGTAATGTGACTCAGTGAAACTTATGTAGAAATGAACACAATGTCAGTTCTAAGATCAGGACAAAATGAAATGAAGTATTCATCTTCAGGACAAAAGAGAGGTTGTTTAACATTCAAGCTGTTTCTTTCTGTAGCTTCGATTTATTTATTTATTTATTCGTGAGATTCAAGACCTACTCTACGTGCGTCCATTGCGTTTCCGGCATGGGGCTGAAAGATTTTTATAAAACAATCAAATTGTGAATTTTTTTTTCCCCCTCAAAATTGCGATAGAATTTTCAGTAATTCTTCCATGGTGCTTTATTTTTGTATTTTTCAACAAACAAGCAATTAATATTTATTAGAACAAACAATATCATTATGCATTGTAGGATACTAAGATCAAGGCATGGAGCATGAAGCATTAATATGACTACAATTACAGGTCTAAACCTACTAAATACTTTCATGTGTAGTCGAGGAAGTTTTCACCACAACATTATTTTGCCACTCGTAAACATATTGTGTAAACACATTTTAAAACTTCCTTCCTATCACCTATCACTCAAGTTATCACAGAGCAATAAATAAATAAATCATAAATGTACAAGGCCCTATGATGCACCTAATTTGGGTGCGCGGGCGCCCGAATTTCACAATGCCACAACTGATAAAAGCCAGAGGTTGCACTTGTGCCATCTGCCTGCCAAGCTCCCATCACTCAAAATACACGCATATTATGGTTTCAGCCAATCATAGATTGTCAAGGGTGGGAACCTCTGATTGGCCGCAGTCCAGATATTATTCTACTTTTTTTAGATTTTTAAACTTTATTAAGCACTGAAAATGGCTGGCTCTCTCAAGCGGCTAAACACTTGGAGTTGCTGCTCTCTTACTAGCCATGTAGCAAACAGCACAAGCACAGACGGGGAAACAAAGAGCGTGGTGAAATAAAAACCATGCGGGACAATATCATTGCAGTCTGTGGGACTCAACACAGGCAGCTTCCAATAGCGACCAAAAAGGAGCAACAAGGAAGCATCTGTGTGTATCAGGTGGTTGTTTTGACATGATTCACCGGATCGTAATCATACTGCCTTTTTGGCAGTGAAGAAGCTTCAAGTCATGCTAAATGATGAGCTAACCTGGAGCGCACTTACAAAGCGCTTGATCTACACCATTTCGTGCTGAAAGTGCTTTACGGAGTACAACGTGGAGTACAGGATGTCGTTTTCTCCAATTGTCTTTTTTTGGTCATTGTTTGGTGCAAACCAGGCCCGCCCACTGGTGGAAGGTGAAGAAGGCGGTCAACTGGGTCCGCTGGGCAGACCGCCAGTACCCTTGCATCTGCAGCCGGCTTGAGTTCGGTTTTACGTGGGAGTCGGCTACCCGCCAACTGCTGGGCTACGACAGCCTCCCTGACTTCTCACCTCTCACCGGCCTGGAGCTGAGGAGGATTAAGTCGGCCGCTCCTGCCTCCGTGGTCGTTCACTGATCACAGCATATTAAAACACACTTTTTAAAAGTATTTCGTACCTGTTCTCAAGTTTGCTTGCTTCAAGCTGTTTGTCACCCCTGGCTGAGGTTTACTGTAAAAATGATACGTAGAATCAAAGAGAATTACACAGTATATTTAAACACCGAAATTTTCAACAGATAGGACACATAATTTCCTGTACCATAATATTTTATTATCTGGCGTGAGGTTTTGCTGGTTGGATGTGTGATATTCGTTTTTCTATAATTTCCTCGCACAAAATATTATGAGACTGCAAGGATATTTAATGGAGCAATATGTTGGTAAAAATGTTGATTTTGAACTTAAAATGGACAATGTAAAAGATTATCAAGAATTATTAGGGGATCGTTTGAGGATTAATGCTGATTTCACTGCTTTTATTATTCATCACGTTTGGATATTCATGATTTAGATTTTAGATGATTAATCTCTGTCTTCAGAGATAGTTAATTAGGACCAATACACACCAATGTTGAAGAATAATCAATAAAACAAAAACCCTTGACTCGCTCGTGGTTGCATGACACCCTGTACTATTAAACTGACCTCTCACCTGCAAAGACAATAAATGTGGACAAAAGACAAGCCTTTTTCTTTGTGATACTTGTTTTGCAAGTTGCCTAATTGAGACAAAAGCACTTTTGCTCTACAATGGATCATAATGCAAATATTCACATTTTCTATTGAATTGACTGTGTAAGAGGAATCCTTATTTTGTGTTTCATTCTATCGTGGTGCAATGTAGCTTTTTGCGCCATAAAGGTTACTTTCACCACACTTCCTATTTTACACACATCAGGGTTGCGGTTGCTTCGCAGTATAGTTCTAACACAAAACACCGACAAATACTGCTTCCTCTACAAACTTTTTTGCACCTCGGACCGGTTTAATGTCAGACAATATTTTCAGTGACCGGCCTTTGGGGCCGGATAAATACAACAAAATAACATATGACCTGCCAGAAAACTGTGGTATTAAGATAATAATAAACACGAATCATAACACGAGGAATGTCCGATCTGGCCGCAACACTCTCTGGTCGCTATGGTAACAGCTTATGCGTGCCTTCAAAATAAGATACACCGCAATACAAAGTGCATGAAAAATATGACTATCGCCGCATGTTATGCAGAGTGGGCTTGGTGCGTGGGAATCTCCCGTTGAGATAAATCCGTAGTTTAAGTAGGACTGATACTGTCTATTAAATTTAGCCTTCTTTTTCTTGAAAGTCGTAGGCTCCTCTTCTGTCTCCTGGCTGGGCCTTTGCCCCTTCCCAGAGAAACTTTCCAAAGACGTTTGGTTTTTACTCATTTTGCTCGCTCCCGGGTTTCATTTTAGCGTTAACCTATCACGTGATTGAGAAGCGTGCCTTGACCCGCGCCAAGAGTAACATACTGTAGACAGATGTAACAGAGAATCCAGTATTTTTTCTAAATAAAACATCTTTCCGATTCCGAAATGAATAAAACCAAAGTAATGTAATTTCTTTTATTCTTTCTGTGACCAAATCCCTCACGGACCGGTACCAGTCCACGGCCCAAGGGTTGGGGACCATGGCTCTACAACAGTGATTCTCAAAGTGTGGTATGTGTACCACTAGTGGTACTCAAAAGAATCACTGTATTAAATGTTCAAACTATACCTAATGTTACAGTGGCTTTAACTTTTTTTTTATCCAGTGGTGTATATTTGCTAAATGCAGTTCAGTTGTATTTAACTTTTCACAACAATACATTTGCTCTTAACCATTTAAAAATCAAATCGAAACAGGATCGTTACCAGGCTCCTGCACAGCTTCCTGATGAGCTGATCATTTGAATCAGTTGCATTGGAAGAAGAGGAGGAGGACATCCAAAAACAGGCTGGATAAGGAAGGGCTCCTGAGGGCTGGACTTGACCCCCTTCATATGTTGAAATGGTCAGTCAAGTGTGACAATTTACGTGAAGTGCTAGTTAGCAGCAAGGTTGAATCGAGAAACCGCGGCAGCGCGATCTAGCTTACCCCGCGATCTACCTTACACTACTGCAGTAAGGCCAGCTTCCAGATGCTAAATTGAATTCAAACCAGCCGCCACAGGGATTGTTAATTATGGTAATCAGCCTCCAGCGAGTGGTGTTGGCTGCCTTCAAAATTAAAGCTATCGAAGTAATGCATGCACATCAGTGGTTTGAATTTAAAATCAGGTTAGAAAATAACTTGTTTGTGCTTGTTCCCCGCCAATACTGAACTATATTTTGAAAGTAAAGCATTGTTAACGTCCTCCAAGGTTCACGTTAAAACCCATATGTACATTTAGAACAAAAGCACACACTGTATGACACGCCGAAATACAAAGAGCTCTCCCCCCCGCCCCTTCATTGCCACACATGTGAACAGTGGTGCATTCAGGTAACCCAAGGACGAATGGTGTGGCTTGGCAAGACATGAGAATCTCCTTTGCTTGACATGGTTGCCTGAGCTCTTTAACAATAATGGGCCCGTGATCTGTCTTACTTCCGACAGGATTCGCCCATCGAGATCACGAACACACTTGACCTTTTCAAAATCTTCGACCAGACAATCTAATTCATTTGTCAAACTGGGGTCGATGAAACAATTATCTGCCCCAGAGTCCACCAGAGCTCAAATAGGGAGACCCTGAGCCTCTCAAAAATGTCTCCCTCCATTTCCAGCCTCTTGGGTGTGCAAGATCCAGACTCAGCTTTACCATAATTCCAGCAGCCAGTGCCGGTGTTGGTGTCTGACTCATAGTTGCCCACATGAGTAGATGGGCGTCACGCCCATGGAGGTTGATTATTAGATTGCAGACAAGGTAGGCAATCTGTCGCCGATTATCACATTGCCTTTTGATGACTGTTTATCACGCACAACAGGCATCTTCTGCCGCGACTTGAGCTCCTCCCTGAAAGACGAACTTGCAGTCCGCGACAACACCACAACCTTGGAAGAGCTCACTGGTCTAGCCAAAAGAATGGACAACCATCTGAGGGAGAGAATTCAGGAACGCGGAGTGGAGCAGTTCTGTGCCCGGTCAGAACTCCGCCATGTTGTCGAAACTCCAGACGGCCGTGTACCGGCCCACTGAATATTGTCCCAAGGTGTGATTGCTAGTATGAATCTTGTTAGACAGCAATTTTTGCAAAAAGTAATGAAACAATGAATATTTGCAACTATTCAAATGTTCTTTTGAAAACACATTGCCATGGACAAAAGTCCATTTGAGAAGGTCAAATTAAGTTCACCTGTCAAGTTTAAAGTGCATTTCTTTTTTTTTTCTATCCAAAGTGCATTTGTGGTTCCGGACCAGTCCAGAACAGGAGTGGATCCCACAAACGCAGACCAAGAGAAGATCAAATACAAAAATGGTTTCTTTACCACACAAAGTCACAAGACCGACAAAGTACAACACAAAAACGCTGGTAACAAATTAACCAGGATAAGAAAGACTCTAACCAAAAGCACCTGTTAACAGCAAGGGAAATTATTCAAATTAATAACACAAAGTCACTTGTCACAAAAAGACAAGGAGAAGCCAATCAACAAGAAAAATCAAAACCACCCAAGGATAACACTACAAACAAGAACAAGGGAAACACGGAACAAACAAGACAATACAAACCCACCATATTGTGTTCAAGAACGACAAGGGTCAAGAAAATAAGCACTTGGACATGAGCTGTGAGCATGTCTCTCTGGAATGACCTCCCACTGAACATTCGGCAAGCCTCCTCGCTGCCCATCTTCAAAACATGCCTCAAAACTCACTTGTATTCTGTGGCAATTTGACTCAGCATGACTTAGATTTGTTCTTGGTTTTGCTGTTCGGTGCTTTCTACCGTCTTTATTACCGATTTGCTTTACTGTTTGTTGTATATGTTAAATTGCTCCATGTGCAGCACTTTGTATGCAGCGATGGCTGTTTGAAAGTGCTCTATAAATACAGTTGAGTTGAGCAAGACAAATATTTCAACAACAGGTGATGGCCTGAACAGTCCCTTATAACAGGTGAAAACTGATGAACCTGATTGGGAACAGGTGCAGAACGGTATGGGACGACCCTCCAATGCCACCTGCTGGAGACAGAAAGAACAGAGTCATGACAGCATTAAAAAAAAAGTATCCACCCAAAAGCTGAAAACAGCATTCTTAACTATTTGTGAATAGTGTGTGTGCACAGTTAGTATGTGTTCTTCTTAGATTTAACCATGATAGGTGCTCATAAATAAATGTTACTTCATCATAAAATTATAGTGGTACTGGTAGTAAAAAAATGCTGAATCCATATTATTGATCCAGATTATCCTGAGTCTTTCATTGAACAGTCTAGAACACTTGAATCAATACACACACACACACACAAACACACACACACACGCACGCACACACAAACAACTTTGAATTTGTATTAGTTCTGGTGAGTCTGTGAACCCTCAGTTAATACAGAACTTTTCTTTTGGACGTCAGACTCATGATCGCTGAGTCAAATCATTTCACTAACAGCCGCCTAGCTCGAAATTAAACAAGACCAATCAGCACGGGCTTTGGTGTGTCAAGAAAAAGCACAAGTCAAGCGCGTGTCGTGCCTGTGATCATGTCCATTTCACGCCTCGTCTATTCCACGCAATGATGCAAACCTGCGCATTGTTGTCTCACAAGGCTAAGGCCTCGTACACACAAGGATTTTTCAAATCACCACACACGGGGCAGCGTGTCCTTGAAAAGGCCATGCAAGTCATGTCGGACTCAGCCCAGATTTACCTGTTTTCACAAAGCAGTGAATGAAGTGACACACAGGTATCACACATTAAAAACAATGTATTCAAAGACTTCTTGAATGTAGAGCACAGGTGTCAAAGTCAAGGCCCAGGGTCCAAATCTGGCCCGCCACATCATTTTATGTGGCCCACAAAAGCAAATCAAGCATGTCAAGTTCCATGATGCTTGCTAAGGTCTGAACCAAAGTTTCAAATTGTCATATGTAATTCACAATAAAAGTCATTATTATTGACTTCTGATTTTAAAACTAGTTATCCATCAATATGTTGTGTGCTGTATAGGTAATATGTGGAGGTGATTAAACATTTATATGGTTTGCCATAAAAAAACGGCTCTCCAAGGGAAACCGGAACTACAAAGTGGGCCTCGACAAAAATGAGTTTGACACCCCTGATGTAGAGGAATCATTTTTTAAAGGTTTGAATATCGGTTCATACGCAGCAGACATTGAGGATACATGTATGGTTTGAAATGAGTGATATGGTTACTGAAGCGCAGTTAAAATAAGGCACCCCACACAAGAACAGGAAAAAAAAAAAAAAGATTGTGTAGAGTGTACTTGAAATGACCAGCACAGCGCACCACTTTGCAAACATTAAATACATTGTACAGTCAACTTTGATTCAACTTGGCAGCTTCTGCCAGCATTCCTGACATGTTTATGAATGATGGTGCAACTTAACCCTTTTATGCACCCTGAAACCTGATGACATGATTAGCTGTCTACTGTCCTAACCGCTGTTCCAGAAAGGGTTAATTTGAAGGCCTGTAAATGTTAAGTGTATTTTAAAATGGAACCAAAAGATACTGCATATACACTGCACATTTGCACTGTGAATACTTTGAAAGTATCGATAAATACAATAAGAAATACTCGTAAACATATTTCGCTCTTCTTAGGTACAGATATTTTTTTTTTAATGCAGAAGACAGTGAGGTCGATGAGTATAATTAGGAAGAAGCACCTTGCTCAGGAAGACTAAATTTGTCATGTCCCGTGTTTGTTTTGTTCCAGTTTGAGCAGGAGTGAAAGGTGTTTGACCTCCAGCAGGCACACCTGTTCCTTGTTCCCAATCAAAGCCTTGCCCAATATTTAAGAACTGCTGAATTGCCTTCGCTCTGTCGGATTATTAACCTTGCTCACTGTACTGCCTCAAGTGTTATTTTTCTAGATCTTGTTGCTCATGTTCCTGGTCACCCGTGTCTGTTTAGATTCTGGTTTTGTATTTTTGTTACAGAGATTTTTACTGATTTTAGTTACGCATGTTTGGACTCAGGGCAGGCCGGCGGTCGAGTGGTTAGCGCCAGCGACCTCACAATGCAAAGGTTCAATTCCAGCTCCTTGTGAGGATAAAGCGGATCAGAAAATGGATGGATGGATGGATGGATGTTTGGACTCTTGCTATTTCATTTTATATATTTTCGGGTTTTGCTGTTACCTTGCCTTTTGCCATCGCTTTTTCTTCATATTTCGTTTTCCTGACTTTTTGTCACCAGCAATTTCTGTTTGGACTTAGTAGGACATTCATTTTTCCTTCAGTAAGTATTTTTGTTATGAATTTTATTTGTATCTACGTTTGTGGGATCCCATCAACATTCTATTCGTCCACGAACTGTGTCAAAATTAAATACAGTGAAATTCCTCGACAACGAAACCTTCATGGGCGAAAATACCCCCTAGTGTGAAAAAATCTTCATGCATTCCCACCATTCCCAATTTCCTGCCCCCCATACAATGAAAAAAACCCTGTTGCATTATGCGAAATCTTTTTCTCTGCTCTTGCCTCAAGACGACATTCACTACAACGAAGTCTAATCCAACAGTGACCTCTACTGCTTCGTTCGGAAACGGCAACAGCAACCACCACACTGGTTCACACATGCGCAGTAGTCCAGGAAGTACTGTATATGTTATTGTTAGTTTCAGACGCAGCAAGAACGTTGCATTGCTAAAAAGGCTACAAAAAGGACTTGTGGTTTCTTTCTGACTTTCGGGTTGAGTGAACGCTGGCGCGTTTGGCTGCCACTGCTCAACCCGCATTGTGTTTTATTGTTTTTGTTCCTGATTGTAAAGTGCCCTTGGGTGTTTTGAAAGGCGCTTATAAATAAAATGTATTATTATTATTATTATTACCTTTGGATGTCAAGCAGCTAAGACAAGAAGAGCTCTGACGCTGGAAGAGAGGGGAAAAGTGATAAAAATGAAAGACGGAGGAAGCAAAATAAAAAACATTGTCCAAGAAATTGATGAAAGTGAAAGTGAATGCTGATCGTAAATTTTGCAATATCTTTCCCTTTTTTTCTTTCTACACTGACTATATGAAGTGTCAAATAAGTGTATGCTCATACTTGTGCACTATTGGAATAAAAATAAAGAGTACACTTACGTTTGTGTGTGCGTGTGTGTGTGTGTTTATATCTGAGATCAAATTTGCTACAGTGAAAAACCCCCTGTTGTGAAAAACTTCTCGCTGCAAACATGATTTCGTTGTAGAGGAGTTTCACTGTACTTGGTTTGTTTTTTTGTTTTTTTTTATTTTTATTGTTTTTGTTTTTTAATCCAAAACATTTTGCTTTGCTTCACTAGTATGAATAATTTTAAAGCATTGAATTGATAAACAAAATGTGATATGCACCCTGAAACAGAAAATCAAACAGATTGGTTGGTCACTTTTCCTTTCTAATCACACCACACTGTAAATACTACTAAAATTGTGTTCATGTCTTCCTCTGTGTGACTGTTGGTGAATATGGAGCGGACCTGTTTTCATATACTTGTGGAGAGCTGCTTAGAACAGGTATGCCTGGACCACTATAACATGAGATGATTTTTAACATTTTTGAGGGCCTTGGAAAGATGTCAGACACATTAAGTTGAGAAATGCCTTTGATAATATGAATGTCATTTGAAAATGTAGTTCTCCCCAAACCACCTCATCTGGCTCCAAAGGAAAGCATAACTACAATGTGGCCCACGACAAAAATTAGTTTGACACTCCTGCTCTAAATTCTCTCTTGGTGTGAGAGTGTGAGTGCAGATGCTTGTTCGTCTATGTGTGCCCTGTGATTGGCTGGCAAACCACTTCCGGGTGTACCCCACTTGCAGTCTGAAAACTGCTGTGATAGGCTCCAGCACACAAAAAAAAAAAAAAATGCACAGTTTAACAGTTTTAAAGCCAGTCTTTTTCAAAAGATAACAGTTGATACAGTCAGCAAAACCATCTTAAATGTTTTGAGTGATTTCCATTCGCTTCAAACAAGATGGCTCAACACCGACGAGAGGACACCTCAGTGCATCCTTGTCCATCTGTCTTGGGCACATGCGGCTGTCTTCTTTGAAGGGCACATGTCCTCGTTGCAGATCTCCCTGACACCCTGCTTCTGAATCAGCCCACTTCCTATATGGGGGGAGAAAAACACACCCAGGTCAGTGATAGAGAAATCTATGAGCAAAATTATATCACGTTTAAAGTTTTATTTAATTTGGGCATGTCTAGACGTTTGGGTGCGTATTCCGCGCCCCCAAATGCCTGTGCGCAAAGGTGTCGGCCGTTTGGGCGGAGGGCTTTTTGAAATCCACAGTAATCATGTTAAAGCAAGGGGGCGAGCAGATGGAAGAAAGCTAGACTCGGTCACGAAGTGGGAATAAACAATTTAGGAACGAAGTGTTGTAGAACATCAAAAGACAGTTTGCCTGCTTATTCGTTGTAGATTGACTGAAAGGTGTCAGCGTATCTGTGGTTCAAAGCTTAAACCAAGTTAATCAAATCACCACCGAGAGGCCTGACTGGGGGCGTGGCATGCAAATATCAGGGGCAGTGTTTTTCTTGTATTTTGCATTTGTAAAAAATAAAAGTCCGACAGGAGCACAAGGAACTCTCAGTGTGATCAAGGAGCAACTGGCCGTCATTCGCTCTTAGAGTTCCGCTTCCGCTGATCAGAAATACAATCTTCCCTGTGTGTCGAGTCATTTGTTTAACTTTGTCCAGGTAAAAACTCTGACAGTCAGAAACCATAAAGGTGACATACAAGAGTGTGTTATCTTCACTCAGGAGTTGAAGTCGATTTATTAGTACTGTACTTCAAATCAGTTTTGTGTTTTTAATAAAGAAAAGTAGCTCTGTATAATGAAAAAAATAGCCAGTAGGCTTAGTGAGTGACATCAGGAGGTGGCCTGGCCAAATTCCGCTATGGGCAATTGTGGGACAAGGAATGGTTTGCCTCTGGCGCATATCTAGCCAGGACCACCCCTGGAGTCAGGTTGGCCAGTTAGTCTGTACGTGAGCATCTTGGTGTGAGTTGTGGCCGACAGCAACACATTTTGAATTGCGTGTTTGACTGTAACTTTCAATGGGGGGGGTTGCATGATGTTGGAAAAACACGCAATATGGGTATTGAATATGGCAATATTCATTTGATGTCGTGATATTTACCTTGTACTTAAAGAAATGAAATTTTTATTAGCTAATTTATTACATTTTAGTAATGCACCAAAATTATCACAGATTCTGTGTTAATATATATATAAAATCACAGTGCAGAGGTGCAAGGTTTGATTCTGGCTCCAGCCTTCCTGTGTGGAGTTAGCATGTTCCTGCGAGGGTTTTCTCCGGGGACTCTGTGTGTGATTGTGAGTGAGGATGGCTGTTCAACTATAGGGGTGTTCACACGACATTTGCTCCAGTGCTACGCCGGCGCTGCGCCAGTGGAGCGGTCACACGTGCAAATTTGCTCTGGGGTAGCCCCGGAAAACAGCTTACACTGGAGCAAATTTGACCCACCTCCCTTTAAAAATTTGCTCCGGAGCAAATGCTCGTTTGCGGAGCAGCACCGATGTAAATTTGCACGTGTGAACTCTCCAATTTGGGGGGGGTAGTAGCCTTACTACGCATGAGAAGAGTTGATTACGTACGGCGAGAATGCGTTGCTTTCGTGCTCTGTTGGACTTCCGTCATGTTTTTGTTTAATAACGACACAAGACATGGCTGGTAACAGTAGCAAGCACCTCTTGGGTTATACCATCTCAACTAGAACGGGGGGGGATAGTCCCCAAATGTCATCTTTCCTTTTGTAGGAGACTGGACTGTCTCGGAGTTGTTTGTGTAGTTTGTTCCTTTGTTGTGTGTTCACAACCCCCCGCCGCCCATAGAATTTATTTTGTGATTTCCTCTCTTGATTTTCTGTTTGGTGCATTACATGTTTGCTTTTCTGAGTGTCATTCAAGTCATCGTGGATTTAGGTTTTCGAGGGCGGTCACCTTCGAGCTGAAGTCGCGGAGACCGAGAAGGAGAAGGATGTGCCTGTACAGTAGTTGCTTGAGTTGTGCATAAGTTTTAAAAAGAACCAACACGACAGCTCATTTGTTTTCTGTCATTTTGCTCCGCTGCAGAAACTGCCGTGTGACCGCAAGTGGAGTTGCAGCGACGCTGCGCCGGTGCTACCACGCTCAGCGGCTTTGTACGTGTGACTGCTCCACAAAATTTGCTCCGGTGTAAAATATATCGCAACAAAATACATCGGTGTAGCGCCGGAGCAAATGTGTGCCGTGTGAACACCCCTTATGTGTGCCCTGATATTGCCTGTTAACCAGTTCCGGTGTGTCCCAAATCGTTATCCATACATCATCACTCACCAGCCATGAGGTTGTAGAGTTGGCAGTAATTGTTGCTGGTTGAGTTGGACGACTTTGTGATGGCAGCTGCCTATGATGGAATGACACTTTAAATTGGGAATCACCTGAGTTCTTCCGACAGTAAAAGTTTCAAAGGTGTTTCATAAAGGAAAAAAAAAGGTTCATAACATTTCATTATTTAAAGTGTCATAATTCATGTTATTCCATGCAAAAATAAAGTATATTGTGTTTTGAATAATTTCCATCCAATCGGCATTTATTTACCTGTATTTTATTCCGAAAACGTAGTCAGTAATCACAACATTATGGGTAGCAGGTGTCGTGTTCAGTCAGTCGAGATGAAATTGCTAACAAATCAATTAGCATATGAAAAGCTCACGAAAATGCTTGGTTGACCATTGTTTCACTGAGAGCTGCAACTATGCCTGTTGTTTGGCACCAGGAAATTCGTGGTGCATTTATTTGCTTTGCAAAAGCCACTGGATGTTTTAAATTTGTTAATTTTAGTTTCACTCAAAATTTTCATCGAGCTGATGTCACAGTTGTTAACTGTAAGCTGTCAAGACGACCATAAGAAAGGAACAAGACGCTCAGTTTCCTGGCTCATGAAGATTCAGTTTGGCTTGCTGTTGACCTGAGTACATACAGAGTGTATCCCGCACATAGTGATAAATGCAAAATCTGACAAGATGGTTTTTGTACATTTCACACCAAGTACCAAAAAAAGTTATTACCTCCCTAAATATCAGCAAAGTCATCAACATTTAAATGCAGTGACGTAATAAGCCTAAGACTCATCAAAAATGGGGCAGAGGTTTTATGTTGACAAGGTTTATATCCATGCTTAATGTGTAGTATTAGTGTTAAAATTCGACCCATTTCAGTCGTACTCTTTCTGTACGTCCTATTTTGAATGCAGCTGTTCATGATATGTTTTCATATGAGCGGAAAGCATCTGTGTTTTGTTATTTTAAACTTATCACTTCATGGCAAAGAGACAAATAGTTGAGAAGAAATGTGATTTAACATTAAAGGGCATCATGGATAAATCATGTTTTGCCAGTAACTTTTGCCACTCATTATGTTGCTTACCTACACTAAATCTAAAACTAAATGAATCAGTTCATGCTTCTTTGCGTGTGTCTGTACTGTATTCTTTTCTGGAGCAAAAATTTAACAAATACTAATGGGTAAAGTATTGTCAAGCAATCAAACGTTCTGCCTGAAATTAATATTTTTGTTGTCAGCATTCAGGGGCTAAAAGAAGCTATTTAATTCATGTGATGCTTTTTCAAATAATTGTCTAATTAGTCGCTTATCGTATTTCTTTCCTACCAAATAACCGCCAAGTTTATAATATGACTTTGTACCACACTAAAAAGTATTTCTCTGGATGAAAAATATTTTGCATGCATTTTTAATTCAATGATTATTTTGCATACCACAAGAGAAAGCTCGCATACCACTAGCGGTACTTGTATAGCACTTTGAAAACAGATGCTGCCAAGTGTTAGAAGTGACCGAAAGAAAACGTGGTGACACCCACCTTCACACAGCAGAATTCGGGTGCAGACGGGGGATTGAACTCAAAGAAGAGCTCGCTGATGGAGTGGGTGCTGGGCGACGTGTGCCTGATTTTAAGGAATGAGGCCGAGTCCTTCACCAACTACCAAAATAACAAAACAGACATTAAGCCCGACTTCAAATGGGAGTCGAAACAACTTAACAAGACAGTGACTACAGGAGTCATTTTGGCAACAAATTTGAATCCTAAACTGAAATTCTGATATTTGGTGGGTTGAGGGGATCAAAGCACACAGCACTAGATTTTTATGATGCGTAAAGCAGGTTTGGGTTTTTTTACCTCATACATGCACTCCTCCTGGCTGTCCGCACAGGTCTTTGTGCTCCAGGCCTTCACCTGCTGCCTCACAGCTTCCACTTGTTCGTAACAGGCTTGCTTGAAGAGCCTTCATGGACAGATATGAAAGAAAAGAAGTCTGAACCTGATGTGCATGTATGGCTTAAAATGAAAAATTACCATATGACTCTGCATGCTGGTAGGCTGCCGGCGGCGATGGGTTGAAGGGGGAGGATGAGGAGCAGAGCTGAAGCAAAGAGCTGAGGAGGGAGGCTCATGGTCAGTCCTTGTGGGGAATGGGACAGACTGCTCGCAGGGTGTGTTTTTAAAGGCTCCCAAATGATCCGGGTTGAGCGAGTCCAATTGTGGGCGTCAGGATGTAGTGAGAGTGATCATGAGGGGCTTGTTCAATCGGATAATCCGTTTCACATTCATGCTGCTTTTCAAAGCAAATTACGGTTGGATCACCTCTGATCTAGATATTTTCAAGAGTACAACATATCACAAAGCGGGCTACCAGCAATGTAAAGAACAGGTCAAAGAGCCAACATGAGGTCACTTGGAAGTGACATCCACTTCTATTTAGGATTTCTTTTAAGAACACTTATCTGAGTCACAACAAATAAATCTACATAAACAAATACATTGTGGATATTTTAAAGAAGAGCACACACACACACACACACACACAAACGTATATGTACATGCACACACAAACATGTGTGCTCTTTATTTTTATTCCAATAGTGCATAAGTATGAGCATAAACTTATTTGACACTTCATATTGTCACTGTAGAAAGAAAAAAAAGGGAAAGAAATTGCGAAATTACGATCAGCATTCACTTTCACTTACATCAATTTCCTGGATAATGTCTTTTATTTTGCTTCCTCCGTCTTTCATTTTGATCACTTTTACCCTCTCTTCCAGCGTCAGAGCTCTTCTTGTCTTAGCTGCTTGACATCCAAAGGTCCATTTTGAAGCCATTTTAGCAATGCAACGTTCTTGCTGCGTCTGAAACGAACAATAACAAATACTTCCTGGACTACTGCGCATGTGTAAACCAGTGTGGTGGTTGCTGTTGCCATTTCCGAACGAAGCAGTAGAGGTCGCTGTTGGATTAGACTTTGTTGTAGTGAATCTCATCGCGAGGCAAGAGCAGAGAAAAAGATTTCGTGTAGCAAGGGGGGGGGGGGGTGTATGGGGGGAGGACAATGGGAATGGTGTTAATGCATGAAGATTTTTTCACACTGGGGGGTATTTTCGCCCATGTAGGTTTCCATGTAGGAGTTTCACTGTATTTAAATTTTTTTGCACGCAATGGACTATAAGGCGCAATCTACAATGCATCCACTAGATAGAGCTACAGGTACGTCTTGGTCCGTCTCCGTGCCTTCTTTTCTTCCGTGCGACTCGAGAGGCGTTCATGACCGCCTCCAAAAAAACGTAAATTAACGATTACTTCAATGAAACTACGAAAATCGAAAACAGTAATACTGTACATTAAAACAGAAAATCACAAAATAAATTCGATAGCCCCGTAGCTGCAACAGAACGATCATATGTCAGTTTTACTGTTTGGTGCCTACTACCATCTTTGTTCCTGATTATTGCTTTATTGTAGTATATCTGTTCGTTGCTCCATGTACAGCACTTTGTATGCAGCAATGGCTGTTTGAAAGTGCTCTATAAATACAGTTGAGTTGAGTTAAATTGGAGGAGACTGGACTGTCTCAGAAGTGTTTATTTACTCCTTTGTTCTGTACTGTATTCACAAACGAGGAAATCACAAAATAAATTCTGTAGTGGGGCTATAGAATTTATTTTGTGATTTCCTCGCATTATTTTGAATTTTCGTAGTTTCATTGAACGAATAATTAATTTACGTTTGTCCGAGGTGGTCATGAACGCCTGTCGAGTTGAACGGAAGAAGAGAAGGCACGGAGACAGACAAAGACGTACCTGTATTTGTTGAGACTGTGAAAACCATTAATAAAGTGTGCGTTTTAAAAAAACACCACAGCTCTTCTTTTTTCGGAGCTGCAACAAAAACTTATTTAATAAAGCAGCGACACAGTTCACTGAACCAACAGCAAGTTGTAACATTGGAAGCATGTCTCCAGCAAGGAGCCATTTTGGGGTCGACATATTACCGTAATGACCATACACAAGGCGCACCGGATTTTAAGGCGCGCGGGGAGCTTTTAAGAAAATGGAAGACTTTTTGGTGCGCCCTATAGTGCGGAAAATACGGTACTGTACAAAGCAGAGGCGATTGCTCAAAGACTGCAAGGGAAGCTCAGCTTCCCCTAAAATGTCAAAAAGTAAGTGATCAAATATATGTGTGTACGTACAATTGTGTGGACATGATAATGACTAAATATGCGCTATAACACACTCAACTTTTGCTCCGAATCAGCTTCTTATTACTGGTTACGACACGACTCTCTTCTCATTCATTCCCACAGCTTCACTGTGCTTTAAACTGTGTGGACGCTGAGCGTCGACCGCGCGGACACTGGGCGTCTAGAGAGTTCAGGTTAGGTTGTCCCAATGCATTGAGACGAGATGAGTCATTGAATAAATGCTGGTTTTGTCCCACCCATTGGATGCTCAGCGTCTCTGGAAGTCTATGGACAGTGGGCGTGCAGAAGCTCAGCTTTTCTTCATGATGATTGGATGATCTCGCTGAGGCTGAATCTCTTTTTGATTGACAGCGAAATGAACCAATCACCGATCTTGTGGTGAAGGCAACCTTGTCATTTTTTTGAAAAGGAACGGAGAGTAGAATTCACATATAAATAAACGGACACATTTTATGATGTAGGCCGAAAGTGAGCGACCAGCATCCGCCACTGATACAATGAAACCAAAGACCAAAAATTTGCAAAGGTAAATTTGGCAAACTACTGTTCACGTCGGTCAGTGCCTTAGCCAATCAGGATGCAGAACGCAATTCACTGTTTAAAAGCATTAAAAAAACTGCACTAAAAAAATCTGTAAAACAGTGAAGCCGCGGAAAGTGAAACCGCGTTAGAACGAGGGATCACTGTAAATTGAATGACCACTTCTGCTGCATTTTCTTCCTAAGATCCACTTTGAAATCCTACCCCCTGTTGGGATCAGGATAATCCTGTTTTTTATTCTTTGTTTCTACGTAATATACTTAAGTACAAAAATAAAAACAAAAACCGAATGTTTTTGTTCTTTACTTATTAATTGTAATAAATAAGTAGGTCATGACAACAACAGGGTGGCCTGGTGGTCCAGCGGTTAGAGCGCTAACTTCACAGTGCAGAGGTACGGCATTCAATTCCTGCTCCGGCATCCCTGGGTGGAGTTTGCACGTTCTCTCCATGCCTGTGTGGGTTTTCTCCGGGTACTCGTTTCCTCCCACATTCCAAAAACATGCATGGCAGGTCAATGTAACACTCTAAATTGTCCCCCTGTGTGACTGTGAGCACGAATGGTTGTTCGTCTCTGTGTGCCCTGTGATTGGCTTGCAACAAGTTTGGGGTGTCCCCCGCCTACTGCCCGAAGACAGCTTCTTTCTCTTGAATAGACACCTCCCATTCGTAATCCCGGATTTGAATCATGAACCCCAGAGATTCAAGTGACTCATTTTTGATCAAACCACATCAATCGGTGTGAGCGTTGTTGTGTAAAGACACAAGACCAGTGTGTCAGGACACTCAAATGTCCATTTCTTGCCGAGTCACCATGGTCATGCAAAACACGTTGCTGTCAGCCATGTGTCTGCTGTCGTAGTGGATGTGTTTGGGCTGAAAAGATTCAACTCAGCCAAATTCTGTCAAAATGTTTTCACCAAGAACCACAAACCAAAAAGTAAGGATAGGAGGGACACTTTGACATTTTTTTACCTTTCATATATCTAACATGCTAAATACAAACCTCAGTGTAGGTAACATCAAAACAAGAACAATCCGTACTAAACTGAGATTGACACAAAGCAGAAAAGTGGAGATGATCGCAATTCCTCGCCCCGTCTTTCTGAATGTGTGGTTGCAGGAAAACAAGCAAGTCACAAAGGAGAATGATTGTCTTCTCTTCTCCTGCCTTGTCATGCAATGAAGGTTGTGTCAATTGTGAATTTTAGTCATGGTCCCTTGACTTTACAAGTTTCTTTCTCTTCGCTCAAATCCCTCGTTCCTGAATTTATCTTTCAGCATTTAAAAGAATACAAATGCAATTATAGGCCCCAACAAACATTTTGTAGTGTAACGTGTTTTGAGTTTTTTTAGTTTTACCGTTTGGTGCCTTCTGCCATCTTTGTTATTGCTTTATTGCTTTATTGTTGTATACAGGTATATGTTAGTTGCTACATGTACAACACTTTGTATGCAGCGATGGCTGTTTGAAAGTGCTTTATAAATACAGTTTAGTTGAAAAACATGAGTTTTTTTGTTTTGTGTTGCAAGCTGAAATTTGATTATAAACTTCAGATGCCGGGTTTCAAGTGAAGTAAAAAAAAAATGGAGCAATTAGGATACTGGAATATCCTCACATGTAGGCAAGGAGAGCCACAGTTACATACTGTGATTTTTCAACCGGGCGATGTGAAACAAAGTTGCTGTCGGCCATCACTGACACTCAAATGCTGAGTGAATCCAGCTCCTGACATGAGCTAAGGCTCATGCCTTAGAATGCACATGATCAACACATGAAGACTCTGGAACATCAGTCGGCATCCCGCGGCTCCGGAGCCTCATGCGGCTCTTTCATCCTTATAATGCGGCTCTGATTGGCTTGGGAAAATAAATTACTAAAAATTTTTTTTTTGTATTTAATTGAAGTGTGTTTTATTTGTGTTAGTTTTTATATTATTTTAGTTCTAAATTTGAAGATTATTGTGATCTTGAAATATTAAAATATTAATTAAATTATTTGATATTATTTTTTCGTCGCTCAAAATAGAC